ATAGTTAAGGAACTAGTGTAAGCAATCACAGAACCGCTAGCAAATTATCTTCAAGAACTCATGGAGGACAGGTGAGGTTCCAGAGGGCAGGAGAAGGGAAATCATAGTACCCGTATTTAAAAAGGAGAACAAAGAGGACATGGGGAATTACAGATTAGTGAGCGTAACTTCAATACCTTGAAGGATACTGGAATAAATTATTTATCGATCAATTTGTAAGATTAGAGGATAATTGGGTGATAAGTAATAACCAGCATGGATTTGTCAAGAACAAATCATGCCAAACTAACCTAATTTCCTTCTTTGACAGTGTTAATAGAGGGGAAAGCAATAGGTGTGATATATCTTTATTTTAGTAAGGCTTTTGACATGCAGTCCCTCATGACATATTCAGAAGTGAATGTAGTCTAGATCACATTACTATAAGTGCACAACTGTTTGAAAGATTGTACTCAAAGAGTAGTTATTAATGGTTTGCTATCAAACTGGAAGGGTGTATATCTAGGGAAGTCTTGCAGGGGTCAATCCTGGGTCTGATATTATTCAATATTTTCATTAATGATTTGGATAATGATACTGGTGAGTATGCTTATAAAATTTATGGATGATACCAAGCTTGGAGGGATTGCTAGCACTTTGGAGGACATAATTAGAATTCAAAAGGACCTTGACAAATTTGGTGCACTGGTCTGAAAGCAACCTGATGAAATTCAGTAAAGCCAAGTACAAAGTGCTTGGGCTAGAAAGGAAAAATCAAATCCACAACTACAAAATGGAGAACAACTGGCTAGGTGATAGTACTGCTGAAAAGGACCTGGGGGTTATAGTGGATCACATATTGAACATGAGCCAACAACATGATGCAGTTGCAAAAATGGTTAATATTATTCTGGGGTGTATTAACAACAGTGTCATATGTAAGACACAAGAGGTAATTGTCCTGCTCCTCTTTGCAACTCAGCTGGAGTTGTGTCCCCAGTTTTGGGGCCATATGTTAGGAACGTGGACAAACTTGAGAAAGTCCAGAGGAGAGCAACAAAAATAATAAAAGGTTTAGAAAACCTGATGTGACATTATTGACATAAACTGTGACCTTATAGATCATTGTTGTCACCACTGTTATATATTTGCAGCAAATATTGTACGAATGTTGTCTTGTGAGGTGTCTATAAAAAGGATATGATTTGCTGGTTATGATTACGCTATCTGTATGCATGTATCATTTTTGTATTTAAAGTTATAATTATGGCTCTATCCTGTCTGTATTTCAATTTCAGACAATGTGGCATCAGCACTGCCTAGCCTGCTTGATGGCCCATTAAGGACCATCAGCTATACAACTGACCCATTGAGAGAAGGCAGATACACCTTGTGACTCAGCAAGGTATGCAGGGACATGCCTATGGACAGAACTCTAAGGTTTTTCCATGCCATGTGCTGGGTAGCTTGTGGTTGGAACAAAGAAAGTACAAGCCACATGGCAAAAGGACTATAAAAGGCAGCATCATCTCCATTTTGTCTTCAATCCTGCTTCTTACTTCTGGAGGAACCTTGCTACAAACTGAAGCTCTGAACAAAGGACTCAATGACCCATCCCAGCTGTGGATGTTCCAGAAACTTGATTTGAACCTGCAGTTTATTCCATCACTGCTACCAGCCTGAACCAAGAATTTTGTCATTACTGTATGTAATTCCATTTAACCAATTTTAGCTCTCATCTATATTTCTTTCTTTTATGAATAAACCTTTAGATTCTAAAGGATTGGCAACAGCATGATTTGTGGGTAAGATCTGACTTGTATATTGACCTGAGTCTGGGGCTTGGTCCTTCATGAGAACCTTTTTTCTTTTACTGGGGTATGGGTTTCAATAACCATTCGTCCCCATAACGAGTGGCACTGGTGGTGATACTGGGAAACTGGAGTGTCTAAGGGAATTGCTTGTGTGACTTATGGTTAGCCAGAGGAGTAAAATCAAAGTCCTCTCTGGCTGGCTGGTTTGCCATGCATTAATAGGAAAGGAACTCCAGATTTGGGCTGTAACTGCCCTGCTCTAAGCAATTTGTCTTGAATTGATACTCTCAGTTGTGTCCCGCCAGAGGCAGCATCGTTACACCTGACCTATGAGGAAAGCTTAAAAAAACTGAGCATATTATAGTCTTGAAAAAAGAAAATTAAGGGGGGACCAGATAACAGTCTTCAAATATATGAAGGGCTGTTATAAAGAGGACTGATCAATTGCTCTCCATGTCCACTGAAAGTAGGACAAGAAGTAATGAGCTTAATCTTTAGCAAGGGAGATTGAGGTTAAATATGAGGAAAAACTTTCTAACTATAAGAGTAGTTAAATTCTGGAATAGGCTTCCAAGGGAGATTGTGGAATCCCCATCTATGGTGAAGCAGAAAAAATGCCCACCGGCATGGAAGAGGTTAAAGAGAGCCTTTGGGCCTAGCTAGCCCCGCCCCCATTATACCTGCAGCCAATGCCAGGCCTGGAGGAAAGAGAAAAGGAGAGAGCCTGGCTCAGTTTGGGGCTGACTGGCGAAGAGGCAGGAGCTAGCTGCTTCCCTACCTGAGGGAAGGAGGACTACCTGCCCAGCTGAGGCAGCCACCAGGAGCCAAGCACCCTCTTCCTGGCCAAAGGAGACAGAGAAAGAGGTCCAGGAGCACCCAGCCTAAGAGGAACTGGGTGGCGAAAGCACAGAGCCCTTGTGGGGGTTCCGAACCCAAACTTACGGCTTCCATGCCTGGAGGAACCAGGGACTGCAGCAGGACGCCACCCAGTGTCCATGAGAGGGCACTACTAGAGACAAGCCACCACGGGAACTTGGATTACAGGGGCCATGCCCTGAAGGGGCAACAGTAGGAAGTAGCCCAGTGCAGCGGATGTGGACTCCCCGCTGGGAGGTCCCCTACTCAGGGATTGACTGACATAGGGCCCTGGCTGGGACCAGGTGGAGTGGGAGGGCCTGGGTCCCCCTACTCTCCTGCCTTCAAGATTGAGGCACCTCAACCACAGAAACGGGGGGCAGGAAGTCAAGTACTCCATCCACTAGGCTGACTGGTCCTCCAAGCCCCCTGTTACAACATCATTGAAGGTTTTTCAGAATAGGTTGGAGAAACACCTGTCCAGGGATGTTCTCAGTTGACTTGGTCCTGCCTCATTGCAGGGGGCTGGACTTGATAAGCTCTTAAGGTTCCCTCCTGCCCTACATTTCTATGATTAAAAGCTCAGTAAATTCACCTTTATTCCCACAATGATGCCAGCCTCCCTTCTTTGATCCTGTCATATTTTGTAAGATTTTATATATATATACACACATATATATATATATACACACATATATATATATACACACACACACACACACACAATGAATTTGTTTTCAAGGGTGTGACACAAACATGCCCTTACATACCCAGGCAGGTATATTACCCACGTCTGATCATCTTTTCAATATTTTCACCCAAGCGTGTTGTTTGTGATCTTTGCCAAAAGCTAAGAACTAGCTGATTGTCATGGTTATTGAGTGATATTTGCATAGGAAATAATTTTAGAGTTATGTAACATGTTAATATTGGGTTTCAAAACTGTTAAAGTGAAGCTTGTCGCCTGATTTGAGGCGGGTCGTAGGGCTCACTCAATCAACATTGAGAACAATGGACATCCATTGAGCCAGCCTATGTTTACTGTCTGGAACTGGTGTAGGCTTGAGGATTTAGAAAGACAAAAGAACCCTAAGAAAAGACTCTGATTAGGGGACCTCTTGGGTAAGAGGCAATAGTCCGTAACTGTATAAGAGATGACAGAAGAACACAAGTTGTGGCATTCTCGAGCAAGGGCATCTCTCATAAAAGATGGATCCCAGCTTTCTGGACTGGACAAGTGCTGTAGCAACTAACAATTGAGTGAGCAATACCTGATTAGATAGGAAAAAGTATAAGCTATAGAGTGTCTTTTAGGTTTTTCTTTTACTTGTTACCTTATGTTTCCAAACCCTTACGCTTGCTTTTATTTTAATCTTGATCTTAAGATCCATTAAATAAACTTCCATTTGGTTTTACTATCAACTTGTCTAAAAGCCTTGTGCACAGGAGAGTGTTGTACTGAGGTGAAACCAGAGGACTGAGGTGCACTGCCTGCAGAGACAGCACATGGGTGTACACTGCAGGTGTCCAGAAGATAAGGGACTGGGCACTTGAGTGTAATGAAGTGGAGTGTATAATTTGCTAGGGTGCAGAGGGAAAGAGCAGACCTTGCAGAGCATTTGTTTTGCCAGCAGTCAGTGGCTGGGGAGAGTCTCCCCAGGTGGCATAGACAGGTCTCCCTCCCAGTGTAAGCAGGGGGTAGTGATTCTCCCTGGACACCTCAGATAACCCTTTAAAGTGTTCAAAAGTGCTTTCAGAAATCTGTATCCTATAGACCAGTGCTTCTCAAGCTATCTGATGTGGGGGACCGGCAATTTTTTTTCCCTATGTGCCAGGGACCGGTACCATATTATTATCCTATTCGACGCTCTTATGAGGAAACTCACTGCGGACCGGCACCGGTCCATGGACCACCACTTTGAGAAGCACTGCTATAGACCATACACTGATACTGTGTTAATCTACTGTATGATCCAGTGCCTACTGAACATAATGGCAAAGCTTCCGTTGACTTCATTTGTACAGTAGGGTCAAGCCTTGAATGAATGAAACTTTATGAAGGATAACAACTGTCAAATAAGTTTCAGGTTTTTGCAGTTTTGTTTCACTTTCTTTGAACAAAATATTAGTTTTTAAATATAAATTGAGTATCTTTTGTAGCCAGTAGATGGCATGCATTACCAGAAAGACTAAACTAACATAACAAGATTCATTCCAGTGGCATGATTGCTGGATGAGCAAGAAAAATGTAGCTAATTTTCCAAAATGTAACAATTAAATACAACGTTTGTGTGACTAACGGTGGAAATAGAAAATTTAAAATAATGGTTAAATTTACTTGGAAGTACTTACATCTTAGTTTGTCTTGTATTTTCCCACCACACATGGTTGCTAACATAGCTTTAACTGAAAACACTGTCAACTTCCCATGGCCCTCACTGAAAAATAAAATACATGATAAATCATTACTATATGGAATGATAAGAACAAAAATATTTCAGGGTCAGAAGAAAAGTTCATTTATGACTTTCCTAACTGCTATGCTTTATAAAACTATTTAACAGTTAACATAATGCAAAAAATTATAGTAACATTTAGCTTTGTCAATAAATTAGAACAGCTAACAAGTAGCCGATGACAAATCATGTTCTCTTGCAGAATTATGGGCATTCTATGGATGAAGAGAGGCTTGCATTTGTTTTACCTGTCCCACACTACCTACTACATGGTGGTACCTGATTATTAGGAGTCATTCCTTTCTGTTTAGAATATGCCTGTTTAATTATATTTCTTGCTTCTACTGCTGCCCTTTCTCGGGAATTCCAACTCTTTATGAACACTGACTGACACTCAGAGAAAGAGGTGGTATTCTAACAAAACAAGTTAGGTAACAAGATATTCTGAACATTCTGAGTAGAACAGGAACAAACATGGATGGTTGTTATTCTAATTAAAGCCACCTAGACTGCTGCACTATCACGAACAGATGGCACTATCAGGCAACCATTTCCTAATGTCAGCATGAGAAAAAAATTGTACTAATTCCTTATAAAAACAATGGAAAGATTTTATTCAGCACAAAGTGGTATGCAAAAACAACTATTCTCATAAAAAAAAATCACAAAATGCTTTACAAGGAGGTAAAACACCAACAACATATAGTAACAGAGGATTATAGAGGCTATAGAACTGTGATCTCAGGATAAAGCCATTGTTAATGCTCAGTATGGAGTTAATTTAGTAGTAGTTGAACATAAATTAGGAGTACCAAGAGCATGTACATGAGAGTGGATAAGCAATTAATCAATTCTGAGCACTATACTCCTAAATAAAATTAATTATCTATATCATACTGTATGCTATGGATAATACTTCACAGATTTCTTACAGCAACTCAGAAAAGGTAAGACAGTATACATGTGGAACAGGAAACTTGGATCCTCTTCAACCATTTACTTCTGAAGAGGAGACTCCATCTCTTCTAGAAATAAGATTTCAGAAGAGGAATGGGGGATTGGAGGCAGTCATTCTGGATGACATGCAGGACCCCATCATCAGATGTTCTGTTCCCAAGATGGTAGGAAATAGACCAAGTGATCTCTAAAGGGAGAAAACTAAATTTATTTAGTTCTGTACTCCCAGTAGACCCACCAAAACAGAGGCTGGAAGGCTGAAGATTGTGGCTGCCTCCAGAAAAACATTTCAGTCATCTTGTTTTATTTCTGTATTGTCTCTTAGCAGCTTGTTGAAGAGGCTGCCTATGAGAAACTGGTATTTCATCTGTGCAAAGGAAGACAGAAAACATTGTCTTGGTACTCGAAGCCTCAAAAAGAGAACCTCCTCTTGGGCAGGGAGGTTGGGTCAGCCATACAGCTCTCGCAGCTGACCTTGCCTCCTTAGTGTGCTATAAGGTCCATTTTATTGCTGAACATTCTTTTTTCCTCAAAAGGAAGATCACAAATTTGAACTGGGCATCCACAGAAAGACTAGATGAGTTCAACCATGAATGTCTGTAAAGAGGCTATAAATCTTGCCACTACATCAAAAATGTCATATGCTACCTTCAGAGGCTGAAGGCAAGTTTTTTTCCTTGGGCAACATCCTTAGCCAGCTTCTGCTGGATATATGGCAATTGGTCAAGAAAAGGAAGGAGCTACGTAGCTTGCCACCTCAATACCCAGAGTTGACTTTCCTGCCAAAGGCGTCCAATCTTCTGACTTCCCTGTCTGGAGGGGCAGAGAATGAAGTTCTCAGAGACTTTGCTATGATAACTAATGCATTTGCAGGAGGGTAAGCAACAGAACTGAACTTGGAGGACTTGGTATAAAACAACCATCCATCTTTTGCCTTTGCAAGCATGGTGGTAAGGGATGCTAGATGTACCCCTTTGGATAAAGAGCATTACCTTCCTTTTTTCTCTGGACTGTAGGATGTTGAAGATGCCTTCGCTATACTGCTGGGACAGATGTGGGCTGCAGCAGTAGGGCTCCAGCCACCATGTTGTTGAACTGTTTTGAAGTCAACTCTGGCAAGAGATGAACAGCCCATGTTATCTGGGGAGATTATGTCTGTGTCCCAGGATCATCCTGTGGAGATGTGACCTAATCTCTGTGCTCAGAGTGCACGTCAGAGATGTTAGCCAGAGATGTTGATGGTGGCAGGGCTTCTGACTGGAGTTGGTGGCATTACTGTGTACCCGCTGAACACTTGGGAGAAGAGGGATAACTGCAAGAGGAGATGATCTTTGTGTATGCCTATGAACATATTCTCCACAGAAAGTCCACATCAGATCACCAGGGACCTCTCCCCAAGGAGGCCTACAGTGCCTTTACAAGCAGGTTTTATGGGAACTAGGAGAAAGATTTGTCCTAGTTTCAAGCCTTCTGTTGCAGGAGTCATCAGGAGAGTCCTCAAAACACAACTCTGTGTCAGAACTAACAATGACTGTCCCCACAGAGGGCTTGAGACTACTAACCTGGAAATTAAAGTTACTTACCTGTATTCAGAGTTCTTCAAGATGGACTCTTCACCTTCATATGCATGGATGCTCCAACCGGCACACCCTGAACAGTGGAACCCTAGCTACTGTTGCCCATTGGGGCACTCCCTCACCCCTATTTTCAGATAATGTCAAATGTTCTGAAGTGAAAAGGGGCAAGGCACTCTAGCTGCCTCGGTTCCTTCCCCTATGACCAGGTCCGTTGGTAAGTAAGACTCCAAGGAAGTGGGGAAAGGTGAACGTTTCCATCTTGAACAACTCCAGTTACAGGTAAGCAATTTTTATTTCTTCTTTAAGTGTCCTCTACATATTGCCACTCATGGGATGTGCTAATGAGCAAAACATCAAACCCAAATGGTGGGATACAGAGTCCTAATTGAACAGTGATTGAAGCCTTATCAAACTTAGCATCACACCTAGTCTTTAGGTCTAATGAGTAGTGCTTAGTAAAAGTGTGAATTGAACTCCATGTAGCTGTTCTATAAACCTCTACTAGAAGAGCATATTTAATAAACCTATAGCGTGTGTCTTTGCACTGGTAGAATGTGCTCTAAGCCCTTCAGGAAGTGGAATACTCACAAGTTTATATGCTTCTTTAATATATAGTCTCATCCATTTAGATAGAGTTTGAACATTAACAGCTTGGCCCTTGTTTTTCTCCTTCTAAGAGAATAATAGATTGTGAGACTGTCAAATGCATAGGGCTGTCCAAATAGTATGCTAGAACTCTTCTGCCATCCCATGTATGCAATTTGTCACCCACTCGGCTCCGAGGTTTGGGAAGAAACACTGGTAAAAACTGACTTATTGTGATGCAAATCAGAGACCACTTTAGGCTAAACCTTGGGTGAGTACTCAACACGACTTTAACTTTATGAAAGACAGTAAAAAAAGCAGCTGCCATTAATGCCTATAACTTGCTCACTCAACTCACGGAGGTGAAAGCGATTATAAAGGCTGTCTTAAGCGATAAGTGGAAAAAAATGTACAATATCCCATAGGTTCAAATGGGTAATGTCAATTTATGTAAGCACGAAATTTAAATCCCAAGTACTCAGTCTCTCACTGGTGGATATAGATTATTAAGACCCTTTAAGAATCTCTTAAATGCATCATGAGCAAATACCAATTTACTGTCTCAAATGTGGTATGCTGAAATTGTGGCTAGATGGATCCTAAGAGGACAGAGAAACACCTGACCTTTTGAGGTATAATATTCTAATATACAACTAATAAATATTTAAATATACTAATAATAGGTGCAGTATATGTATCCACATTACATCAGTTAACCCACAATAAAAGCCTTTTCCAGTTATGATAACAACACTAGTGTGTAGACTCTTTCCTTGAATTAGCCAGAACATTTTGTAATTCTAATGAACAAGATTGTTCTAACAATCCCAGAGTTTTTTGGCCCAAGCAATGAAGTGATGGAAGATCTGAATGATACACCTTCCCTTGCTGTTGTGACAAGTCTGGTACTAATGGTAGGAGACTAAGAATCTGTACCTTCCCCTGTACTTGTGAACGGAGTCTGGATATCACTGCTAACTGGACCACAATGGCACTATTCAGATCATCTTGGCCTGGTATTTTATTTTATCTATCACCCTCTGGTTGGGATGGAACAGTGGGAATGCTTCGCTGCCAACACTTCTTGTAACAGAGTTGCCTGAAACCTATTCTCCCTCTCCTTTGGCTGGATTGCAAACATGAAGGTGCCTCCTCCCAAGCATGCAAACATTAGGCACTTAAGATATGGATGCAGAAGAGTCCCAGAGTGATTCCTAACACATCAGTTGGTCATAGCTGGAAGGAACTGAAGTGGCTGGAGCATCATAGCACTTTTATACCCTTGCCTCAGAATGTTGGCAGAGGAAGGCATGTGAGTGCTCCAGTTGGCACTACTAGCTAGGGTTCCACTATTCAGCCTGCAACAGTCACAGCATCCTGTGACACTCCCTTATTCATCACTGTCATATCATTAGGATACGTTTTACACAAAGTATGCCCTGTGAGGTGTCATTCTAAAAGTCTTCATCTGCTAGACAGTAATATCTCATTGGATTGTATGTGCTATTAACGTATGGGAAGTTATAAAGTTGGGCTATGTAGGTGTTACTGAAACATGTTGTGAGGTTGAAAACACCCACAAGCTGCCTTTCAGGTACAACAGTAAAAAGGCCAAACAATGTTAATGGCTTATTGAGGAAATGCACACAAGCACAAGGATTACCCCAGGAACTGTGTACAATAGAAACCTCACAGAGATAGCACTATACACTGGGAACTGTTTGACCCAGGTCACAGCAAAAGAGCTTTCCAACGAGTGGGAAGAAGATATAAAAGGGGGAAATGACATCATGATGGTACCTCATGCTCCCTAAAACAACACACCTGGAAACATCAGAGGAACAAAGACTGAACTGGGGAAGT